CAGTGGCTCATGCTTGTAAATGTCAGCACTTTGGGAGGCCGAGGCGGGCAGATCACCTGAGGTCAGGAGTTCAAGACCACCCTGGCCAACATGGTGAAACCCCGTCTCTACTAAAAAAACAAAATTAGCTGGGTGTGGTGGCTGGTGCCTATAATCCCAGCTACTTGGGAGGCTGAGGCAGGAGAACTGCTGGAACCTGGGAGGCGGAGGTTGCAGTGAGCCGAGATCGCACCAACAAAGTGAGACTCCATCTAAAAAATAAGAAAATAAACAAAAATAAATGAATTGATTAAAATTTGGCAGCTCAGAGTCTGTTCCCAAAATGTAAGACATGATAGCCAGGTGATGAGCACGTGGGCATGCAGCCTGCTCTTCTCTCTGCTTTTGAATGTTTGAAACTATTCACTTACATGTGTGTTTTTAAAATAATTTACTTTTAATTTTTGTGGGTACATAGCAGGTATATATATTTATGGGTTTTTTTGTTTGTTTTTGTTTTTTTTTTGAGACGGAGTTTTGCTCGTTACCCAGGCTGGAGTGCAATGGCGCGATCTCGGCTCACCGCAACCTCCGCCTCCTGGGTTCAGGCAATTCTCCTGCCTCAGCCTCCTGAGTAGCTGGGATTACAGGCACGCGCCACCATGCCCAGCTAATTTTTTGTATTTTTAGTAGAGACGGGGTTTCACCATGTTGACCAGGATGGTCTCGATCTGTTGACCTCGTGATCCACCCGCCTCGGCCTCCCAATGTGCTGGGATTACAGGCGTGAGCCACCGCGCCCAGCCGGGGCTGTTTTTTTAAAAAGTCTAGAAGGGGCCAGGCATGGTGGCTCACACCTGTAATCCTAGCACTTTGGGAGGCTGAGGTGGGTGGATTATCTGAGGTCAGGAGTTCAAGACCAGCCTGGCCATCAAGGTGAAGCCCCATCTTTAAAAAAAAAAAAAAAAAAAAAAAAAAAATATATATATATATATATAAAGAAAAAAAAAGTCTAGATGGATTGAAAAGTTAAATATTAATATAAACATTAAACTACAAAAGGATTAGGAGGAAAGACAGAAGGTGGTGATCCGTGAAATCCAGAAGTTTTAGGATAGAGAGGTCAATCTGTGTAGAATGCAAAGCTTCTAAGTCATTCCTCTGCTTAAAGCCTATTAGTAGCTCCCCATGTCTCTCAGGACACAGGCTGAGCTCAGATACCTCCTCCTCCAGGAAGTCCTCCTGACTTCAACCTTCTGGTTAGGTTAGAAGCAAACCATAATTGGAGACCTTAGGGGCCCACTTACCTTGGCCAAGGTATTATATTATTTCATTATAATGCAAATGGCCCTGTGACCCACCCCAGAGTCAGGGATGGAGGACCCTGGCGCAGATACTCGCAAATCCTTTGATGATGAGTGAGTATAGGGATGCAAGGGTTGGTGGGGGGCTGGGCCCTCCTTGGGCTCCCCAGCAAAGGAGGATGGATGGGACCCCAATCCTGGCTGCTACCGCCTGCTCTTAGCTCAGCCTCCCTCTCAGGCACCAGCCAGTCCCAGGGGTCTTAGTTCGGCTCTTCCCTGGGCTCCTTAGTCCAGTTCCAAGCCACCCCTCTGGCCCTGTGCTACCCCTGGTGCTCCCTGCTCTTGCTCCCAGCTGTCCTTTCTAGAGTACAGCAGCCCTTCTCCTGGCCAGAAGCTTTCCCTGGCTCCCATGGTCTGAGCATAAACCCAGGTTCCCCTGCCTGGTTCCAAAGCCTCCATGACTCCTTCTGGACCTGCTTCCCGTGCTCTTGCCCAGATCTGAGATTGCCCGGGCCTGCCTGCCGCGGGGTGTGTTCCTTCCACTGTGCTGCCTCGGCCCTCTTCCTGGCATGCCCACTCCCGCCCTGCCCAGGCAATCGGCCTGTGTGTCCCCTTCCCTAACCCTGCACCGATCACACCTCCCAGGCTGGCTTCTGTCTTGACTATGTTCCTTCTCGCCTGTCTGAGCAGCAGGATCAAGGTGAGAAATGCCTGCTCTGTCTGTAGCCGCCCCAGAAGCACAGTACCTTCCACAGTGCAGACACAGCCTGGTAGGTACGCCTGTCCCTCTGTATCCGTGGGGGATTTCTGGGACCCCCAAGGATTCTCAAGTCCCTTACATAAAATGGCTCAGTACAGTTCACAACAGAGTGTGTTCTGAGAAATGCATCGCTAGGCAATTTCACCCTTTGCAAACATCATAGGTGAACTTAGCACAAACCTAGATGGTCTAGTCTGCTACACACCTGGGCTGTATGGGATAGCCTACAGCTCCTAGGCTACCTATCCATACAGCACGTTAGTGCGCTAACTACTGGAAGCAGCTGTGACACAGTGGTAAGTATTTGTGTATCTAAACATAGAAAATGTCCAGTACGGCCAGGTGCAGTGGCTCACGCCTGTAATCCCAGCACTTTGAGAGGCCGAGGTGGGCAGATCACCTGAGGTCAGGAGTTCAAGAACAGCTTGACCAACATGGCAAAACCCCGTCTCTACTAAAAATACAAAAATTAGCGGGGTGTGGTGGCATGTGCCTGTAATCCCAGCTACTCGGGAGGCCGAGGCAGGGAGAAAGGCTGGAACCCAGGAGGCAAAGGTTGCCGTGAGCTGAGATGGCGCCATTGCACTACAGCCTGGGCAACAGACAGACGGAGATTCCGTCTCAAAAAGAAAAAAAAAAGGTCCAGTGCAACTAACAGTATTATCTTCTGGCCGGGCGCGGTGGCTCAAGCCTGTAATCCCAGCACTTTGGGAGGCTGAGGCGGGTGGATCACAAGGTCAAGAGATCGAGACCATCGTGGCCAACATGGCAAAACCCCGTCTCTACTAAAAATACAAAAATTAGCTGGGCTTGGTGGTGTGCACGTGTATCCCCAGCTACCCCGGAGGCTGAGGTAGGAGAATTGCTTGAACTCGGGAGGCAGAGGTTGCACTGAGCCAAGATTGTGCCACTGCACTCCTGCCTGGTTCCTGGCAACAGAGTAAGACTCTCTCAAAAACAAAAAACAAAAAACTTCTGAGACCACTGTCTTACATGCGGTCTACTGACAGAAACATTGTTACATGGCATAGGGCTGTATTTGCATGTAACCTACACACATTCTCCTACTTATTTTTTTTTTTTGAGTTGGAGTTTCAGTCTAGTTGCACAGGCTGGAGTGCAATGGCCTTGGCTCCCATGGTCTGAGCATAAACCCAGGTTCCCCTGCCTCCATGACTCCTTCTGGACCTGCTTCCCGTGCTCTTGCCCAGATCTGAGATTGCCCGGGCCTGCTTGCCACTGCTTGCGGTGACCTTGGCTCACTGCAACCTCTGCCTCTTGGGTTCAAATGATTCTCCTGCTTCAGCCTCCTGAGTAGATGGGATTACAGGTGCACGCCACCATGCCCAGCTAATTTTGTATTTTTAGTAGAGATGGGGATTCTCCATGTTGGTCAGGCTGATACTGAACTCCTAATTTCACGTGTCCGCCCACCTCTGCCTCCCAAAGTGCTAGAATTACAGGCGGGAGCCATGGCAGCATGCCTTTTTTTTTTTTTTTTTTCCTTCAATGAGACAGGGTCTTACTAAGTTGCCCAGGCTGGAGTGCAGTGGCATAATCATGGCTTACTGCTTACTGCAGCCTCAAAATACTGGGCTCAAGTGACCCTTCCACCTCCCAGGTAACTGGGACCACAGGTGTGTGCCACCATGTCAGGCTAATTTTTTTTTTTCCACAGAGATGGGGTGGTGGTCTCATCATTTTGCTTAGGTAGGTCTTGAACTCCCTGCCTCAACCGATCCTGCCACCTTGGCCTCCCAAAGTGCTGGAATTATAGGCATGAGCCATTGCACTCGACCACCTCCTATATACTTTAGATTACTTATACCGCCATACAATGTAAATGTCATATAAATAGTTGTTTTGTGTGTGTGTGGGTGTTTTTTTTTCTTTGAGACGGTTGTTTCGGTCTTGTTGCCCAGGCTGGAGTGCAATGGCGCCATCCCGACTGACTGCAACCTCTGCCTCCTAGGTTCAAGCGATTCTCCTTCCTCAACCTCGAGAGTAGCTGGGATTACAGGTGTTCACCACCACGCCCGGCTAATTTTTGTATTTTTAGTTGAGAACTTGTTTCGCCTTCTTGGCCAGGCTGGTCTTGAAATCCTGACCTCGGGTGCCGGGTTTGGCCTCGCAAACTGCTGGGATTACAGGCGTGAGCCACTGCGCCCGGCCCTCGTGTGGATTTTCATGGGACTCTAGAGGCGTCTTGAATCCATTTTGGAATAAGGATGGTTATTAGCATGGGGCCTATCCATGAGCTGTCTTGTTTTCCCAGGCCGAGTCTTGGGACAGGGGTCCTGACGTCCGGGACCTCGGTCCTCCCTAGGAAGCACCAAGATGGCGGGGGACGGAGAGCCGGGCGAGCATTTAGAAGCTCTTGTGCACAGGGAAACCCTGTCTCTACAAAAAAACTTAAAAATTAGCGGGGCCTAGTGGTGCGTGCCTGTGGTCCCAGTTACTCCGCAGACTGAGGTGGGAGGATCGCTTGAGCCCAGGAGGTGGAGGCTGCAGTGAGTCACGATCGTGCCACTGCACTCAAGCCTGGGCAAGAGCAAGACCTTGTCTCAAAAGAGGACCCCAGGCTGGGCACAGTGGCTGACGCCTGTAATCCCTGCACTTTGGGAGGCTGAGGTGGGCAGATCACCTTAGGTCTGGAGTTCGAGATCAGACCAGCCTGGCCAACAAGGCTAAACCCCGACTCTATTATAAGTACAAAAGTTAGCCAGGGATGGTGGCGCGCCTGTAATCCCAGCTACCCGGGAGGCCGAGACAGGAGAATTTCCTGAACCCGGGAAACGCAGGTTGCAGTGAGTCGAGATTGCGCCACTGCACTCCAGCCTGGGCGACCACAGGGAAACTCCTTCTCAAACAAAACAAAATCCTTAAGTTCTTTTTAAAATCCTTTCCGCAGCTGTCCTGGCGATAGGTCACGATAGGGAAATTCGGCGACCCCTCACCTTGACCTCGCTTCCAGCACAGCCACCTCTTTCGAGTAAAGAGGGCGAGACAGGAGAGCCCCCTGATAAAATGTCGCTGTCGACAATGCGGGTATCGATCTTACTACCACTCACATGCTGAGCGAACGCTTCGCGGCTTAAGCTAACACCAGGGCCCGGCTAGGCTTCCGCAGCCGTCGCGCATTGTGGCTCACATCATTACCGGTGTCCCCGTCGCCTCCGCCCCGTCCGGCCAGCTCGCCACCCCATTGGCTCCCTCGCGGCTCCGGCTCCACGGCCATGATTGGTTTGGCTCCATTTAGTTTTAAAAAGCATTGGCCACTCGGATTGGTGGTCCGAAGCGTCCGTCAAGTGGAGGCCCTGCTGTTGCTACAGCGTAGGGAAGACCCAGCCAGGTTTCTCTCGGTTTCTGATTTGTTTCTCCGGCTCCGGGGTCCTAGAGGTTCCGGATCCGTCAAGTCCATGGGAAAAGAATGCGCCCCTCGAGCTTGACTGACGAGGGTTGCGAGCCAATCGGAATGGAGTCCAGGGAGCCGCTAGGCGATCCAATAGGTGGTAGGGGGCGGGAGAGAGAGGCCAACGAGCCTGGAGCTAGGGGCGGGGGAAGGGCTGCGATTGGCTGCGAGGCGGCCAGAGGGAGGGCGGGGGGAACTCAAGGCCTGCTTGATACGTCCGCCATTTTGGGCGCTTCGCTGATGGTGTCGGTGTGCGCGTTTCCCGCCTGAGCGCAACTAGCGGCGGGTCGTGGGCACCTCCAGGTAATAGGGGTGGGGGAGGCGGCGGAGCAGGCCTTGGCGGTGGGTGCGCGTGGCTCGCGGGCAGGCGCGGGGCCTCTCCTCCTGGGCCTCGGCGGCGCGGGGAGGGAGCGTCCCGGCCCCTCTCCCCTCCCCCCCCGGAATTCGCCGCTCCGCGGGCCTGGGAGGCGCGGCTCCGAGTCCTTCCCGGCGGCTCCCCGCCCGCTCCTGTCAGCCTGGGGCCCCGGCGGGCCAGGCGCCGAGGACGGGACGCGACCGAGGCGGCGAACTTTGCGCTGCGTTGACGTTCGCGGCCTTACGCGGCGAGCTGGCGGACGGGCGAGGCGCGCCCCTAACCCAGCTCTGGCTCCAGCCTGCCCGCCCGCCGCGGCCCGCTGCGTCGCCCACCGCCCGGCCCGCGTCCGGTTTCCGCTCCCGCTGGGCATCCCGGCCGCGGGCTCCGGGACAACTCCTCCCAGGGGCCGTGGGGAGCGCGTCAAGTTGAGGCAGTAACTCGCCGTCAAGAGTCGCGAAGGCTATTGTTGGACTCTGCTCTCCGGGAAACAAGTTTTGTGGGTTTCTGCTAATTCGCCGCAGAGTCATCGGGATCCACAGCAGCCAGTTCCGAGGCACCCAGTGCCCTTCCCGGAGGCTTTTTGACTCCAGCGCGGTGGCTGGGCTGTGGACAGTCTCGAATGCCTCCCTTGTGTATTTGAGCCAGGGGGGTGGTCCTGCTTGTGACTTGAAGTCCCTCCCTCTTAAAGAAGCCCATTCGCTGTTGACTTGGAGGTCCTGCTGGCTGTGATCACAATTTGGACTTTAGGCGAACGGGATGGGTCTTTGGATGCACCTCCGTTGCCCTGACGTTTCAACCGCGTGACTTAAATGTCAGTTTCCTGGTACTTAACGTTTTCTCTGTGGGGCTTTGGGTCTGTTTTGCTATTATGGGAGGGGGTGCTTGCTAGGCGTTCCCTTTCATTCTCGCGGCACCTGTTGACAGGGTGGTGTCCTACTTTATGAATGGGACGTTTATTTTGATTTTGTCCTCAAGGTCATGTTGCAGCTAGGCTTCAAGGGGGAAAGAGACTCCAGATTTCCAGCCATCGAAATGTGCCTCAAGTAGCAAGGGTGTGAGACCCAGTTAGAGGTGGCGGTTGCGTTTTCCTCACTGTGGAGTGGAGTCAGGTCTTGGCCTGACCACTTTTTAGCTCTGTGACCTTGAACAAGTTACCCAGCCTTTCTTTTTTTTTTTCTCTCTGTAGTATGGGAATAATAATAAATGTCTCAGCCATAAGTTTGTCAGGACAGATGCCTTAATACATGTAAAGCAGCTAGAAGAACCGTGCCTGGCACAGAGAATCATCTCGGCGGCTGATTAGTAGTTAGGCTAATTAATGGCTATTATTATTAATTTAAATGTGGTCTTTAAATGTTTAGGTACTATTGGGACATCAGATGAGCGTTTAAGCCTTGACTCTTGGTAACTGTCTTTAGAAAGCTCTGTGTAAGAGTCATTTGGGCTGGACCGGGTGCGATGGCTCACGCCTGTAATCCTAGCATTTTGAGAGGCGGAGGCAGGCAGATCACGAGGTCAAGCGATGGAGACCATTCTGGCCAACATGGTGAAACCTCTTCTCTACTAAAAATACAAATACTAGCTGGGTGTGGCGGCGTGCGCCTGTAGTCTAAGCTACTCGGGAGGCTGAGGCACGAGAATCGTTGAACCCAGGACGGGGAGGTTACAGTGAGCCGAGATTGTGCCACTGCGTTCCAGCCTGGTGACAGAGCGAGACTCCGTCTCAAAAAAAAAAAAATTGGGTGGGATCAGTTGGGCTGAAAAAGTAAACTAGAAGTTCTTACAATATTTTCAGGACAGGGTTTTGAACATTCATTCCTTAAGTCATTAATTACTGGAGTAGTAGCACCTCAGAATGTTTAAAGAGGTGGTTAAACAGAAAAGCCCATCACAAGCTTCAGTTGGCCTCTGTTCCTCAGGTGCTTTCGCCTATTAGTTTCTGGGTGACTGCCCCCCAAATGAGTAATAATCAGGTTTTCTTAGTGTACTCCTGGTTGTCACTGAAGACTGTAAGGGTACTGTGAATTCTAGTATTCTGCAGCGGAGGTAGTTTGGGAAATAGCTGTTATCCTGGTGGGGTGCTTTGGAAGGTATTCTCCATTTCAGCGTGTCTGGTCAAGGAGTCTGGATCATCGAACAAAATGCATCCACTCGGTCGGAAATGAACTCAGTTCTTTAACACTTGCCTGGTGCTCTTCTCCGTGGCACTCAGAACCGTGCGTGCCCTTCAGCTGGTACTGCTGTGTTTCCCTGGGATTGCTTTGCTGTATTGGGGATACATGTGTTTTGATGGACTCAGTCTTAGGTAGAGGTGAGTGTCTTGCTGGCGGAGCTTACTCAAGGATAGGAAGAAGATTGTTTTGGGTTTAGAAGTCTAGCTTCTGTGTAAAGTATAGCAAAGCAAAGGAAACAAAAAAGTGCTAGTTTCAGTGAGCTAATTGAGAATTTGAGAATCAGACTATAGCTGGGCAGAAAATGAATAGAAGTAGCATTGACAGCATGAGGTTGCTTAGTTTGTAAGATAAGGCTTTGGCCAGGCACAGTGGCTCATGCCTGTTAACCCGTCACTTTGGGAGGTCAAGGTGGGCAGATCACCTAAGGTCAGGAGTTTGAGACCAGCCAAGCCAACATGGTGAAACCCTGTCTCTACCAAAAATACAAAAATTAGCTGGGCATTGTGATGTGCAGCTATAATCCGAACTACTCGGAGGCTGAGGCAGGAGAATCATTTGAACCTGGGAGGCGGAGGTTGCAGTGAGCCCAGATTGCACCACTGTACTCCAGCTTGGGAGATAGAGCGAGACTCCATCTCAAAAAAAAAAAAAAAAAGATTTTGCATCTATTTGGCATAGAGATAGTGCGCTTATTACAAATAAATGTCTCCTTAAAACAAGGGTCACGATCGGTATTCACTTTGTTTCTATGATAATTTTCATCTTTGAGTTCTATATATTTTCAGTATTTGAGAGGCAGCCTGTGTGCTCTGTGTGTGTGTGTGTTGGTCTAAAATTATACACTATTTTACTAAATAAGGGTAAATGTTAGTGAAAATAAAGCTGCTCCATGTGCTCAACTAAAACTCAGCATTGACTTGGTCCTCAGAAGTCATGATCTGCACCCCGACATGGGCTGAGTAGTGTTAGCTACTTTTTCTAAGGCTGTACTGAAAAAAAGACCTGGCCTCTTGGCTTAAACAGCGTTCATATTTTTTTCCTTTCTTAACTTTAAATAATTGTTTTTGGTTTGCTCTACATCAGGGGTTCTGAATTGGGGTGATTTCCCCCCACATCCCAGGAAACATTTTTGCTTGCCACACCTTTGGGAGTGGGCAGTGTGCTTCTAGAGGGTAGGACCAAGGACGCTGCTAAATACCCTGCAGTGTCCAGCAGGGCCGCCTCGCCCACCAACAAAGTTACCCAGTTCCAAATAGCAGCACTGCCAAGGTTGAGAAATCCTGTGCTAGATAGATGTGACTGGCCTGCATTAGAATAATTAGAGATTCTTCAAGACCATGGTTGTGGCACTCCAGCTCTGGAAGTTGGTGGTGGGATTGAGAATCTTTTTTAAAAAGGCTTCCCAAACAATGCTGAAGTGCAGCTGGATCTTGGAACCGCTGTTGTAGACCACAGATTTACAGACTGTTTGTGAGTTAAGGTTTCCTTTGGGCGATCTGTGAACTTGCTCTTTGCAGTGCCTAGATCCTGAGTCGGAGATTATTTAGTAGTGGGGAGAGATGGTATACTTACTTACATCATTTTTCAGGTGCCTGAAGACTGAACTTTAGAAGCACCGTTAAATAAATTCGATTTCATAAAACATCTTAGGACGTATTTGTTTTCTTAACCTCATGAGAATACATTACCATATTGTGCTGTGAAACTCAAAAAAATTCTTAGGTATTTAGAGTTTGCTTCTGTGCTGAATCATCTTGCACTACTGTAATCTTTGAGTTTTGTGTCTTTTACTCTCTTGTCAGTCAGCGGTCAGGTCTGTTTTTAGATGCCAGTTTCAACTTTTTTTTTTTGAGATGGAGTTTCGCTCTTGTTACCCAGACTGGAGTGCAATGGCATGATCTCGGCTCACCGCAACCTCCGCCTTTTGGGTTCAAGCAGTTCTCCTGCCTCAGCCTCCCGAGTAGCTGGAACTACAGGCGTGCACCACCATGCCCAGCTAATTTTTGTATTTTTAGTAGAGACGGGGTTTCACCTTGTTGACCAGGATGGTCTCGATCTCTTGACCTCGTGATCCACCCACCTCGGCCTCCCAAAGTGCTGGGATTATAGGCGTGAGCCACCGCACCCGGCCTTCAATTTTTTTAAAATTATGTTTCGTTTTTGTTTTTGAGTCAGACTTACTGTGTGGCCCAGGCTGGAGTGCAGTGGCGCCATCTTGGCTCATTGCAGCCTCCGCCTCCTGGGTTCAAGCGATTCTCCTGCCTCAGCCTCCTGAGTACCTGGGACTACATGTGTGTGTGCCACCACGCCAGCTAATTTTTGTATTTTCAGTAGAGACCGGGTTTCACCATGTTGGCGGGGCTGGTCTGAACTCCTGACCTCAATTGATCTGCCTGCTTCAGCCACCCAAAGGGCTAGGATTACAGACGTGAGCCATACTGTGCTGAGCTTTTTTGTTTTGTTTCAATAAAGCCCTATTCCTAGAGAATTAGACCTGGATCCCATTACCAGTTCGACCCTTTGAGGGCAGGAGACAGGTATACGGTATGCTCAACCTTTTAACACAGTGATCCTGCCCACTG